CAAGCACAGCCCTGCCCAGGCTTCTGCTGCGAAGAGGCCAGCACAGCCCGCAGCTGCAGCCAGCCCTGCCCCACCCCACACAGATCCAGGGGCACACACACCCCCATGCCCTCCCAGGGTGCATGCAGCAGTGAGAGCCACCTCCCCCACCCCGGCTGGGCAGTGCCTACCCCAGCCCCACTCCTACCCTCACCGCAGGAGGCGTTGATCTGCCCCCCACTCCCCTTCCCTCCTCCCTCCCCTTCCACCGCAACAGACTTACTAGCTGGATGCATTGGAAATTTTATCATATCGGCCGATATGCCTCCTTAAAAATCACCTATTGGTATCGGCCCCCAAAATCTCTATTGGTGCACCCCTAGTACAATTATACTGCAAGTGAGATATTCCAAGGTGTATTTCAAATGCTGTGAAGATCATAGAGATCCCTTTAGGAAGAGATGGAAGTATGAGATGTTTGACTGTTGGAACAAATTTAAGGTACTCTGATAATTTCTTTGTTTAGGTTGAGGAGAAAATCAAACAGACTCATCGCAAGTACCTTCTCCAAGAGCAGCTGAAGATTATTAAGAAAGAACTGGGTCTAGAGAAGGATGACAAGGATGCTATAGAAGAGAAATTTCGAGAACGGCTAAAAGATCTAGTAGTACCAAAACTTGTTATGGATGTGATCGATGAAGAGCTGAACAAACTTGGTTTGCTGGACAATCACTCTTCAGAATTCAAGTGAGTGTACTCTAATACAAATTGTAATAGGGATTATTAAGGCACCTCAGAAGTGGAGGTTGCTATGCTCAATTTGCCTCAGAGTATTGTTCTCTTTTTTGCATAACATAGAATCTCCTATTGATCTAATGTAGTTTGCCAAGATAATTATGGTCTTGCTGACTTTCCCCAACATAACAGTTGAATCTTGCCAGCTTTCTTTGGGGTTCTAGAAATGTGGTTTTAGTCTGTTTGAGCAAGGAATACAGTTTCCTTCCTCACCCTTGTGCAGTGCCTCCAGTTGTAACTCTCAAAATGTATTGCTATGCTCAACCCCTACCTCTCATGTCTTTTCATTTCTTAAAAGTGGGTTCTAGTTTTCATGTAAGGTGAGCAGCCTGTGGGCAATTGTTACTATGTGACAGGCTGAGCATCATAATACAGTAAAATCTCTGTTATCCAGCATCCCCGGGGTAAGGGGTTTGCCGGTTATATGAAAACTCTGGTTATCTGAAATAACCTGGCAGAGGTTTCAAATAACATGGAGCCAGGCGGTGGCAGGGAGGGTGGTGGTGGCTGCACATGGAGCGGCGCCAACTCAGGGTGGTGTGTGGTGGCGGTGACTGCTACATGCAAGGTTTACTCCCTTAGCCCCCCAGCGTCCAGCCAGCAGAGCGGGGTGGGGTTGTGGTGGTGGCCGCACATGGAGCAGCGGCAGTACAGGGTAGTGGGTGGCACCAGGAGCTGTTACGTGTGAGCTTTCATTCCCACCCT